ATACACAACCATTGCATATGATAGAAAGGGCTTTTGTAATGTTAATAGAACAACTATCATATTGCGGCATCTCAGACCGTTACAATACTTATAACTTATAATACGGTACATACGAACTAACGAATAACGATAGAAGCGTCACACAAGTTACATTGTTAACATAATAACCAATTTAACGTATGAATGTAAATAAAAGAGGATGAAATATTACTGTAAAATGATAAACAAATTGTATAGAATACTCATCCAGATGCCTAATACAAATTACAATCTATACAACTTGTTGTTAGATATATATAATAAACCCTATTCCTTATGTGGGAATAACCATTTGTTTTGAAAACCTAATCAACTATTTAAGTGACGTGATAAAAAATAGTAAATCATTTATTGCAAATCAAAATAGATAAGTGTTATTAAGATTATTAAGATTTTCAATCATACTTTCATTTACAAATAAAAAAATGGTTGATGTTCATATTATAATAATTAAATGCGTTTAAAAAACTCATTCACTTAGAGACGGCCTTTCCAAACACTACTCTCAAGTGGACAATAATAGGTCATAGGTGTTTTTAGATACCAATGACCTACTATACTTATGTTGTTCCACCGAATACAAGGGCGAGACCCGTTTCGCCCAAACTTTACATTTCCCATTTAGCCCAAACATATTTTAGGCATTTTAAAATTAAGTTTGCAATGGTTTTTAACCATTATTTTAAAATGTATTATAAATTATGTATTTATAAAAATTCCATAAAGTATAATAATACATATTGTTATGTATATATATATATGAATACATTTAAAAAGTTCATATTAAATTATATATTATTAATTATGATATAAATCATTATTTATACACAAATTATTTTTAAAGTTATCACAATATACTTAGTTATAATATAAATCATTATTTGTATTAAAAAATATTATTTTTAAAAATTTCTACGCATGTTTTTTATTAACCCATGATTAGTAATTTCACCTTAATTATATAAAGTATAAAGTATATGTTGTTCATTATGATGTTCTCTTTCTTTCGTTTTTTTGGTATTTTTGGTTTTTTAATGATATTAACTTTGAAATACATTTCAAAAAAAAATGTTTTGACTAGTATAATAATACAATTTGAATCTCGATTAACGGCGATTACTACACTGAAAATATTATAAAATTTGCATGTTGTTTGTCAAATATTTATTAGTTATTTTTAAAAATTATACAATATTTCTATAAAACTATATTTACACATGGCAAATATTAGTCAAATGTTGACAAATGTAATTTGAACCAGATCGTGTTATTCAATAAACAATTGAACACAAAATTTTAATTTATTTAAAAATATTTTTTATCTTTTGACTGATAATTGGCCAAAGATTGTATTTACTTGTTTTTCGAATAACATAATCTGGTTCAAATGATATTTGTCAAACATTAGACTAATGTTTGCAAGCGAAAATAAAATTGTATAGAGTATTATACAGTTTTTAAAAATAAATAATAAATATTTGACGAATAACATTTAAATTTTACAAAGTTTTCTGGAAAGTTATATTTCGATTCGATTAATACGCGTAGATACCCATCATTTTAAAATATATTCTTTTAATTAACTACTTACATAATATATTCCAATAGGCATACTTAAAATTAAATTCCATATTTAATGTGTTCAAATATTATTACAACAAAAAAATAAATTACTCTGATAAGTGATAATTCAAGACAATATTTACATAAACGTGGAGCTAGTATAACATAATTATATCTACCATTGACTATACACTTTTTCTCTGTAAAAAATTATAAAAATATGAAATTTTATGAAAATTAAAAGTTGGAACGTCAATATTTTCAGAAAAATAATCTCTATAAAATGGTTATCTTCAAATTTAAAATAATAAAGTTAAAAGTTATTTTTTAATTTTTTTCTTACCAAAACATAAGCATTTAATAAATATAAATATTTATAGTTCTCATCACTGTGAGTAATATATAAAAAAAAAATGTTAATTATTTGTATTATCTCCGGAGATATTACAATGACTGTATCTTCATGAAACACAGAGGTTCTATATCAGAAGTCTATTCAGAGATATGAAATCCTGTAGACAAATGCAATTATTGGACCATATACTTTACATTTACCATAAAATAACTATGAAATTGTTAGATAACTTATTATGAAAAACAGATGATATTTAATCTGTTAGAACATACAAATTGTGATGATTTAATATACTGTTATACTCCTACTGCATACTCATTAAATAATTTAATATTGACTGTGTTTAAGTACGTAGTTAAGTTACAAATAATTGTGTTGCATTTTATGAAGGTCTAAATTACTATTACTATTCAATTTCTGAAGTCTACGTTGTAATTTATATAGGTTTAGTTTATTTACTACTAAAAGTTGGTTTTGAACAATACTAAACTAAGTGTGTGTATATTCGTTAGCAAAAANATACTTGAGACAGGTGTATTACTGTTGTAGGTGGGAATATAGGAGGGTGAGATACACATAAACGTGTGCACGAAGAAGAAAGCTGGCTCCCCTGTGAGATTTTCCACCAGATATTTTTAAACAAAACATGTTAGATAATATTTTTTCTTTTAATATAAAACAAAGATTGTTGCCTTTCCTACCGAGAGGAACAATACACGCTTATAAGGATACATAAAATTTCTCAATTTATATCTGTAAGCTACGACAAATCATTGATCACGAAAAATATTTCTGAGCGAAATTCAGCTATACATGTTTTAAAATGCTCTCATTATTTTGATATTCGTCAAAAATCAAAACACTTTTAAAAATTTGCCACACTACGTTCAATTTTTTTTTTACTACCAAGTACAATTTATAATGAATTTCGTATTTAATTTTTAAGCATTCCTTTTTGGTTTAACAATTTTATCCATATAATAGGTTAGGTTCAAAGTTATAAAATAAAAATTAAAAAAAAAAATTAAAACGCCGGATATTTTTAATATATGGTTCAAAATTACTAGAATTCTTTGAAAATATAACCATTTATAATAAACGAATATAATAACTTTTGGTATAATTCTAACTTTTACGTTTTTCTACGTTCTTCTATTAAAAAAGATGCTACTCTTGATACTGGAACAAAATTTCTAGTAGAGAATTAAAGTTTAAAATAACAAAATCGTTAATGATGTGGCGTAGCGGGCTATAAATATTTGTCCGTTATTTCTGTGCATTTTTCAAGTTCTTCCCAATTATCATGAAAACCTTTTGAAAAATTAAAGAATTGACTCTTCAATGCACCAACTAAATACAAAATTTTTAAAAAAAATAAGCACACTACATATATTTTTGTAAAAATATTATAATATTGTAATTAGAATCTAAAAATGAAAATAAAGAGGATAAAACTATTAAATATCAAATTAATAGCCATTAAATCTATAACTATAAGATTTAATGTGTCAATAATATTAGTTTTAACTAAAGGTTTTTCTGTGACTATTAGAATTCATTAATATTTCCTATATATGTATATTGTATAAAATAATAAAATATTAATGTTTATTTTACTTTAATAATAACTGAACTGCATAAAGTTCACCCGTTTAATACGTGGGTATATAATACAATCCACCGTGATAACACAAATTATAATAATGGATTTGAATCTAAAATATGCTCTGAAAAATACTTGTTTGTACAATATTATAATGATTATTTTTTATAATATAATAATATTATTATGCTCTTACCAACACACGATACTAGAATTATTTAAATAAAAACAATACTTATTATCAAAGGTTTTCATGTTTTTATTTTGTTTGTTATAAATAAATTTGTTTTTAAATATTATGAAAGATTTATTTTAAAATTATTATTTATGTCTTTGTTTCTATGACGATTCCGTACGCACCTTTTTCACTATTAAAATTGTATATGGTTTACCTGCCTAAATGTATTGGAACGCCGCGGTTGCACCCTCTTGATACCTATTATCTATCAAGGATTGCGTTCGCTCTATCATTATTACTACGGTCGTTTAAAAAATAGGCGCACTGTTATGAATTTGTTCGACTATGGTGTTATAAAGGGCTCCAAGTCGTCATCAACGTTATTACGACAGCACATTGTA